TGTATTTTGTGTTCCTGTGTTATTACATATATTTTTGGTATATTTTTTCATATTTGCAGTCCCGATAGCGGTTTTAACTAGTATTAATCGAAAATGGACGGATTTCGAGCGTGGCAGATAACGGTCATATCGTTTTTACAGGACTCCAGTCTTGATTTGACTCAGTCTGAACAAGTCTCTTAAGCACTTCATTTATTTTCCTCACCCTCAATTTATATTTTTCTTTTTTGGATCTTTGAAATTCTTATTTTTCTAATATTTTTAAATTAGTATAGTTACTCAATTTTTCTCTCGATAGTGACTATTGTTCGCAACAATTTTAAAAGCTGTATGCGAACTGGTCCCCTGAGATACAGTCGCTAAAATGTAAGGCTCCTACTTCTCTAATCATATGGAATCTTTTTAGCAGGAATTGGAATCTTGTTTTGTTTTTCATGCCTTTCCTTCCCTTCCTGGTTTTCACAGGCTTTGGTTTCATTATTTTGGGAGAAATCAGTATAGTACTTCTTCGTTTTGGAGGTTTCTTAACCTGAGGAGTATTAGCATTACCACGAATGGAAGTTGGTTTTAGTAATGGATAATCAGTATAATTACTCAATTTTACAGAGGCACGGAACAACGAACGTTCTTTTTCTTTGTCCTTTGCCTTATCCGTTCTATGACCAATCTCTATTTGATGTATTTTTAGCGCAGTAAACTAATTTGGATTGTCGAAGTAATCCTTCTGCGGTTTTCGTCCAATTTCTTCGCATCACAGCAATCACAATCGCAGCAAAAACTACAACCTTCCATATTTGAAATGAGGAAATAAATTCGAAAATGTATTTGTATGTTATAATATTTTTATTTTATTTATTTACATATTTTTCCAATGTCAAGTAAATAATATAATATATAATATTGTTTTGTTTTTCTTGCCTTTCCTTCCCTTCCTGGTTTTCACAGGCTTTGGTTTCATTATTTTGGGAGAAATCAGTATGGTACCCCTTCGTTGTGGAGGTTTCTTAACCTGAGGAGTATTAGCATTACCACCAATGGAAGTTGGTTTTAGTAATGGATAGTCAGTATAATTACTCAATTTTACAGAGGCACGGAACAACGAACGTTCTTTTTCTTTGTCCTTTGCCTTATCCGTTCTATGACCAATCTCTATTTGATGTATTTTTAGCGCAGTAAACTAATTTGGATTGTCGAAGTAATCCTTCTGCGGTTCAGCAATCACAATCGCAGAAAAAACTACAACCTTCCATATTTGAAATGAGGAAATAAATTCGAAAATGTATTTGTATGTTATAATATTTTTATTTTATTTACTTACATATTTTTCTAATGTCAAGTAAATATTATAATATATAATATTGTTTTGTTTTTCTTGCCTTTCCTTCCCTTCCTTGTTTTCACAGGCTTTGGTTTCATTATTTTGGGAGAAATCAGTATGGCAGACCTTCGTTGTGGAGGTTTCTTAACCTGAGGAGTATTAGCATTACCACCAATGGAAGTTGGTTTTAGTAATGGAGTTGCTGGTATAGATAGTGTTCCCGAAATTGTTGGAGTATTGGGTACAGCTTGGAATGCGTTTGTTAGAGCTCTAGGAGACATGGGTGTCACAGGAGTCATAGTACTTAACCTCATTGAACGTCTTTGTGCAAATGTTGAGCGAATAGCATCTAATTCATTTGAAGTAATAGTTAGAGCTCGTCTATCTGTTCTTCGAGTACCTGCATTTTTAGGCAGCTCAGGAAATGTAGGCAGTCTTTGTAAAACAGAAGCATCTAATTCATTAAAAGCAGTAACAGTTAAAGCTCGTCTATCTGTTCGCCGAGTACCTTACAATTGTCTTGTCTTGTATTAATCATCCGAAAATAATGGATATATCGACTATTTTTGGTATTTTTTGTTTCAATTACTTTTTTGGCTAAAGCCCACAAAAATAAGTATCTTTGTTGCTCAACATTACAAAAGTTGCTCAGCAACATGCTATTGTTTTTAGTATTTTTTGGGAAGCTGACCATGGAAAATTTGAAATGAAAAGAAAACTAGATTAAAATACCAACCGCTTATATAGGATTTATCTTTTTCTTTTTAATTTAATCCAGCATTCTTTTTCCTAAGAAATTGCGATTCCATTCCGAAGAATACTTTAAGAATATATAATCCGTTTTGTAATTTCAAAAATGAAATCACAAAAAAAAGAATTGTTGTTGTGTTGTTCGGCATCGTTTCTGATTAGTGTGACCAATTAGGAAATATTAAAAATATATATTCAAAAAAAGCGATACTAGGCGAAAAAGAATATCACGATATAAACATATATTTTTATTCAAAATAATATTGATATATTGATATTTTGATATATTTTTCACATCCCTACATTTGACTAAAGCGTTTCTTTGTGTTATACCCGTAACTCGTAGACGAAAGGGGTATATTGTATTTGTCGGAAAGTATGCAACAGGTAGAGGGAAACTTCTCAGTGACTCGTCTACGAGTTACGGGTATAACACAAAGAAACGCTTTAGTCAAATGTAGGGATGTGAAAAATATATCAAAATATCAATATATCAATATTACGCCCTAATTTGACTAAACTACGACTGAAAAACCACAAAAAAATGAGTATTTTTGGCCAAAATCAGAATTCCAAAAATAACTGGTGTACCCCCTTATAAAAAATGCGAAAATGGGTCAAAAAATAAATGTTCCTTACAGTGATGGGGATCGATAGCATTTGTAGCAAGGTGCTCAAAACAGTCGGTCTTTTAGCTGTACGCCTGGATTTGGCTGAAATTCCATCAGAGAAATTATGAAAAATTAAGGAATTTAACTTCGTTGTCAAATTCCAAAGTCGTGGGCAATGGTTCAAGATAGGGACTACTTTTTAGCAATGCCGTTATGTATTGAGTGTGTGTCAGCGAAAATATTTAAGATAAGCTTAATTATATAGGCCACATAATTCAAAATGTGGGCAAACATCGGTTTTTGTATTCCTAGCTATATCGCGGAACCTGTATTTTGTGCTCGTGTGTTATTACTTAAATTTTTGGTATATTTTTTCATATTTGCAGTCCCGATAGCGATTTTAACTAGTATTAATCGAAAATGGATGGATTTCGAGCGTAGCAGATAACGGTCATATCGTTTTTACAGGACTCCAGTCTTGATTTGACTCAGTCTGAACAAGTCTCTTAAGCACTTCATCTATTTTCCTCACCCATCAAATATTTTTGCTACACAAGAGAACGGCCTTTCAATTTATATTTTTCTTTTTGGGACCTTCTTTGAAATTCTTATTTTTCTAATATTTTCTAATAAGTATGGTACTCAATTTTTCTCTCGACAGTGGCAATTGTTCGCAACAATTTTAAAAGCTGTATGCGAACTGGTCCCCTGATATACAATCGCTAAAATGCAAGGCCTTTCAATTTATATTTTTCTATTTTGGATCTTCTTTGAAATTCTTATTTTTCTAATATTTTCTAATAAGTATAGTACTCAATTTTTCTCTCGACATTGACAGTTGTTCGCAATAATTTTAAAAGCTGTATGCGAACTGGTCCCCTGATATACAATCGCTAAAATGTAAGGCCTTTCAATTTATAATTAATTACGAAATTAATAAATTTTATTAAAAAAAAAAACTTCAATTAATTACTTAACAGGTTAAAAGGTTAACAGGTCTTCTTTTTTGATCTCAGCTGTATGCTTAATTACGAAGTTAATAAATTTTATTAAAAAAAAAACTTCAATTAATTACTTAACAGGTTAAAAGGTTAACAGGTCTTCTTTTTTGATCTCAGCTGTATGCTAAATATGTGGAAATTCACATAAATTCTTCATGCTATTCTTAAAATTCTATGCTTATTAACCAATATAGGAATCTATAACATTATCACACTTCATCAAACATCTTTTGAGACTCTGAATTCGTAAGCTCCGAAATCTTGTAGTTGCAAAGTTGAGGTGTTGTTGTGGCTCCGCGGACCACGCAGTATTATTAACTTACAATAATTTGATGTACTTTTGGTGCAGTTCATTAAATGTTTTCATTTCCGACGTAATACTGCTGGTAAGAAGCAGTGATCCCGCAGCAATTTTAAAAGCTGCATTCGAACTACTCCACTGAAATGCAGTCGCTGAAGCGTAACCAAGTGGAATATTTTTAAAATCTTTTGGAATTTGCGGAACGCAGCAATAGGAATCTGACTCATTGCTGGTGATAATTGCGTATCGCCGATCCTCCGGCATAACTTTTGTGGATGTATGGGAAGGCTCCTCTACACAGCAATCACTGTCACGTTCCTTTAAAGGGCAGACCTAGAATTTAAAAAAAAACATGTTTTCATACAAAAAAATCCTAGAAATCTAGTTTTTCCTGATAGCTACTTAATTAAAACGCTTCAATTTAAGTAAGCCCGTAAACGTAACCGAATTAGTTATATCGGTGATAACCGATAAAGCAACTTAAACGGATATTTGATTCGGTTTAAGTCCTTGATATTTATCCAACACTATCCTCCTGAGATAGCGAATACACTCTCCTGTTAGAGAATTCTTCCACCTAAGGTGCCAGCCACCTATTGGAGGAATCAAAAAACAGAAAAAGAGGTGGAAAATCACCTACTTTCCAGATACCCTACATTTTGGCCAGATGGTAAATGGGTTTGGCTGGAAAGAGCGGGTTTAGTAAAAGCTTGAGGTCTTCCAGATATTTTACTATATTTTGCTGTTTTAAATCGTATAATCTGCAAGGGTAATACAAATTCGGATTGCCAAAAGCTTAAAAGAAAAATAATTTGATTACGTCGTGTAATAAAATTATTAGGCAAGGCTTTATCTTCTGGCGAGAAGGATCAGTTGCATTAAAATTAAGAAACTGGATATTATGGACAAATACCCAGCTAATAGCCCTAAAGAATAGCCAAACATGATTTCAATTCGTGTCTAAGATATATCACATTTTTGAATCAAAAATCTTGTTTATAAAAGATTACACCACGACATATTTTCGTTACTTTTCATCGTTTATTCATCGCATGATTCGCTTAATTTCTAGATTACAGGTATGGTATACAGCTTGATTCGGTTTAGGATCTACAGCCTAGGCCTAGGTTCTACTGACGGGTTCAGGTTCAGATTAGCTTTAGTCACAGCTCTCACTGCTCTCGTGCCGCTTTTACCTCCAAGAACGCTTCGATTTCGATCACTTACTGACTAATAAATGCATTTCGCCTCCGGTACGTTTTCAACTAATTCCGCCCACCTTTGGGGAATTCTTCTCCACTCGATCTCCTTTTTTTTCTAATCTAAAATTTGTAGTTGGTAATTTTGCTTCGCTTACGATGCTGCTTGGAAGTAAAAGCGCAAAAAGACGATTCATAGCTTCAAGAAACATATACATAGAAAAAGTTAAAAATATAAAAAAAAAAGTAAGAAAACTATAAATAACATTGAACCAGTTGGAATTATGTACAATTTGAATTTCTGACATAAATAAATAAATATACAATTAAATGCAACTTAAACGAATCGGCCCTCGACTTATCATACTATATTATATATATATGTATATTGGTATATGCATGCATATAGCTAAATGCACAATAAACGAAACAAATTCGAGCACATTGGCAACCCACAAAGCACTTGTCAACTAAGTCCTACTAATACACGGTACGGGGAAGGGGATAAGGAAGGGATAACAGATGTGGGGTGGGTCGATTAGTCGATCACCACCGACCACGGGTGGTCCACCCGACCGTACTGGATGTCGGTGAGCGTCTCGCGGATCAGCTCGTGAATGGGCTTCTCCTGCTCCATGGTGGGTATGTACAGATCCTGGCCGAGGTAGTTGATCCTGTTCACCGGACTGACCACACACGCCGTTCCCGCACCGAAGAGCTCCAGTAGCTGTTGGTGTGGAAAAACCATATTAGTTGGTTCCTCGGGAGGTGCATATCTCTAGGATTACTTACTCTTCCCTGGTTGAGGAGGTCGCAGACCATGGGCATGGTGATCTTCGCCTCGCTCACCTTGAACTTGCCCCACTGACGGGTCATGTGCAGGATGGAGTCGCGGGTGATTCCGGGCAGAATCAGGCCACTCAGCGGCGGGGTCACCAGTTCTTGTTCTGCAAATGGAAAAGGGTGGACCATTAGGTTATATCTATAATAGTAAGTTTAGTTTTTAATTCTGATGAACACTTTAGATATATATCATGTATTATGCTTATCAGGTCCAAGAGATCAGTGTAATCATCTTCTACTGAGGTAACTTTATTTAATTTCTCAAAAAATATCATAGATTATGCTTTCTAAGGTCCAATATATCAGTAAAGGTTGAGTAAACTGACTTGATGGTATTTAATTTCCCAAAACATTATATATATTATGCTTGTTAAGTTCCAATAGATCAGTGTACTTATCACATACTGAGTTAACTGTTTTAAATTCCACTAAACCTATCACATATTATGCACCTATCATATTATATTAATCCTTATTTAGTTTCACAAAGAAGAACACGGGTTCAGTCTATAGTTTAGTAAACTAACGATTCACTCATAAAGAAGACAACCTACCTCCTTGATCGTTCACGTAGAACATGAAGATGTTCATGGTGCCCACTTCGGTTAGCTGGTGATCCTCGCCGTAGAGCCACAGAACCTGCTGCAGTCCCTTGGCCGCCGCTTCCTTCTGGACATTGATGGTGGGTGCATAGTTGGAGCCCATCTTCCGGTTGCCAACGCCGCCTGGCCAGGCACGCACATGGCTGGGATCGGCCAGGAGGGAAACGGCTCCGTTGGAGCCCGTCTTGAAGTAGCTGCCCACCGGACTGAGGATCGTGTAGAGCAGGGCCGAGTCCGAGGAAGCCACTCCCAGCGTGGGCTGTAAGTCGAAAAGATTCAAGTTAGCCACGTTAGCAGGTGTTTAGCCCAGTAAGCTATACTCACATCAATGCCAATGAGTGTGGGGCGGATGTACAAGCTGGCGGTGTTGGTGTGGGGAACCCACTCGGAGTCGATGGTCAGCAGGCGGGACAGGCACTGGACGAACTCCTTGCCCTCGAAGGTGGGCAAGCCGGATCGCTGGGCAGCCAGGTTCATGCGGTTCATGTTCATGTCCGGCCGGAAGATGCGGATCTTGCCGTCGACGCCCCGGTACGCCTTCATGCCCTCAAAGAGCTGCAATTGATCGAATGGCATGGGATTGATAAGACAACATGGCACCATTGGCAACAGTCTGGTTTTGATTTGGATTCGGATTCTGATTCTCTACTATACTATATATAATTAGTCGGATGACGTCAGCCCACGGGCCACACGTGCGACTTGTTTACAGAGATTACGGGCTGGGGATTACGGGATTTCAAGTCGCTTTCAAGTCACGTATGTAAATACTCGAGAGTTCAAGAACAAAAAGTTTCTTGTGGTGGCCATAATTAAGGTACTCAAAAGAAGATCTAAGCAGTTAAGTTATGCAGGATATTTAAAGAAGTCAAATACTCTCAGAGTTTTGGAAATCGAAATACTTATTTTATTAATATAATAAGAGTTCAGAATTGGTTGAACCTTTTCTAGACCGTCTAAAATATACATACATCTACGAAAATGCTTATGTTATTTATTTTTGGTTCTCAAAAATAAGACACTTCATTATAGTTTTATATACAACATTTTAAGACACTATTATCTAATTTCATATGATATTTTTGAGTATCCCTAGTTAAGATCCTCTGAACTAAAAAGTTTTATTAAAGCAGTTATTCTGAAATCAAAACTAACTGCACTTTTCCAATTCAAATCCTTTTGATTGTTCTTTAAATAAATTGGCGCCCAACGTGGGATTTTAAATATAGAGGAACCGAAGCAAATCTATGTTGTGTTTTATCTTGGGTTTAGGATCTTTGGTCTTCTTGGTGACCCCGCTTACCTCAACGGCGTAGTGCAGGACCTTGGCGGCCGGATGCATGACTAGGTTCTCCAGCGGCGTGATCTCCGGCCTCTGCCAACCGCCCAGGCTCTTGTGGTAATAGATTTTGAGCATGTGGTCGGTGAAGAGGCGTCCGAAGCCTAGCTCCTCGTCGTTGTCCGGCTTGGGCTGCAGTTGCTCCGGGGCGGCCAGTCGAACGGAGAGCTGGGAGGCGCGGAATTGGTGACCCAGATTCTTGTCATGCTTGATAGGTTCTGGGGCACTGGTGTATTGGGCATCCACCGAGGCGGTGATCTGGAAGTCCGCCGACGACTTCTGTTGCTGCTGCAACTGGGCAGCCTGGGCCGCCTTTAGGGATTGGTTGCTGCACAGCCGGATTGACTGGGCGATGAAGCGAATCAGGCGGTGCTGGTTGCGGAAAATATCCTGTAAATATAAAGCAGATACCACGTTAGACACTTTATGATTAGGTACTTATAGATGCGATTTTGAGATGGGAAAACAATAAATAGAAGTAATCATTTTAGGATCAGCAACATAAAAATTCTATATTTTACATAAAAAGCTATAACCTTAAAATTAAAATCGTTGACATAAAAAAAATCATTTTTTAAATCCTAAAAAAAAAGTTTTTAAATAGTATTCAAAAAGGGTTCTAAACTACATAGGAGCTCTATTCCTAAAATTAAAATAAAATGTTTACGTTCACATAAAAAAAAACATTTTTTTAAACTTAAAAAAAAAACAATACAGTTTGTTAACCTTTAAAGAAATGTAAATTATAAATTGTTCACTTTATTTATAAACGTTAAGTATATGTACCCAATATCTACCCTTTCCGCCTCTGATAGTATGCTAATTCGGGTCTAGACCCTAACCAAAATCGTTGAACTGCCGAAAATGATTTGCACATTAATTAATTTTCAATTTGCAAGGCAGACGATCTTGTTTATGGAGCTTGGACTGATGTAACCCCCGGCTATACGGTGTAGTCTACATTCCAGGTCAGACGAGAAGTCAGCAGTTTAGATTCGATTCCGGCTCCGCTGCGAGACAAGATTTAATCAACAATAGTATATGTCATTTTGTTTGATGTTATTATACTCCAACCGATGCCGTTCATCTCTCCTTGGCCGATGGCTGATGAAATCGGCCAAACTATCGACTAAGCCAAAAGCCGACAGCCGAAAAAGAAAAACGCCAAGTTGACATCGGTGGTCGTCATTGCATCAGCCAAAAAGAGCTGATTTAAAATACTTTAAAAACCTAAAAAAACCACCAGCAGAGCACGTTTGAAAACTCGTTCGAAAATTGGACTACAAAAGACCCGAATATGTCGTCTACAAGTCTGCCTGCCCATATGGCTTATCGCTGATTTTCGAGTGTGTGGGGAGTGGGAAGCGATAACAACAGGCCATAAATGTCCAAAATAAAGCATTAATGGGTTCTATTTATACGTAAAGTGGTCTGGAGAGCTGGGAGCGTGGCAGGTTGTTCGAAAATAGTCTATCTATAAAAAAGAAAAGTCTGGAGATAGACCATCCATCGGATGCCACAGCATTCCAACTATTCGTAGCCACTATGTTTTATTATAATTTAAATGAATTTCTATTTATAGATAAGGCAGACATTATTTAGAACTAGAATTTTTGAAACGACAAAATCGAATAAAATAAATGTTAAAATGTTTACGTTTAAAGTGCAAAGTTTAGAACGTTTTAAACCAAGATTATTTATTGGTTCTTCAATTTTTGTTCAAGAAAACCAAAGGATCTGCCTAATTTATAAGGGCTATAAAAATATTCCGAATTGAGTATGTTGCTAGCTTGTCAAAATTTTGATTTCTGGGCGGCGCTACCGATAGTGATCAAAATTTTTGATTACAAACCTTAGCGTTAATTGCCATTTTGGTCGTCATCTTGTTGATAAAAGCTGTGGAACTTTCTTTCCCGTTTTTTTTTTTGTTAAATATCTTTGTGTTTGGACTCTCTTTCTTTGCGAATCGCTCTTTCAGCGTCTCTTGCACTTGCACTTTGCCGCACTTGCGCGTACCGGTAGATATTGTATTTCTTGGTTGTATTTTGCAAGAAAGGAACTGCACTTTGCACAGTAAAAAAAATTTGTTAAGCACGCAGTTGTATTTATTTCGGTTATCGATTGGCTTTCTTTTTCGGTTGGGTTTCTTTTCTTTTTAGCTCGATCTTTACGGCACGAAGTCTCTGCAAGAAATGAGCTGCCTCCGCTGATATAGTAATATTTATAGCCGATCCGCGGGATGTGTGTGTGTGTGTGTCCGAATCGTATGATTACCGTTGGAGCGCCATTTTAAGAGCATTGCGCAGGAATGACCGCTAAGAGAGCGGAAGAGAGGCGGAGTACACTGCGATAAGAATCATATACTTCGGTGTATATATATTAGTTAGCTGTATTTTTATAGCTACCGAATCATATATAATATTAAGGTTGGAAAAACAGATTGTCAGCAATTTTAATTATTTTATTATTAATAATAAATATTATATGGAAGCTAATGACTGGCAAAATAATATAGCTGATATTTTAACCACAACCTATCAGCTGTTTAAATAATCAAAATATGCAACTATAGGTTAGTATATATTTACATACTTGTAATCTTTTTTTTATAACCTTAAAATATTTGAGGGCAGAAATACCTACCTTCTCTAACTATTAAATCTTTTTGAAAAATATTTTTTCAAATTATATAATTTTTATTTAAACTTTTTTTCAGACGGCCTTTAAACTGATTAATTGATTTCGTAACACAGCCATTAAAGAATTATACAGAAACCCTTGGTTTTAGATTCAAGTAGTTTACATAGTTGCTAAAACTTAATTTTCACATGGACACTGAGCAAAATGTCTATAATGAACATTAAAAAAAGTATTTAAAAATTATTAGAACTAAAATAAAAAAAGAAACGATTAAATCATACGATCTGCAAGTCTTTAAGAAACCAACTTCAGATACAAAATTAAATTAAAATTATATGTTTAATATTCTATTGAATTAAATTTTGAGCAGTGTAGCAAAAACACTAGCTGCCGAAAATCGAATGTTTTTTTCGCTCCCTTAGCGAATCTCTTGCTGAGACTTTTCGGGTTTTTACGATGGATCGATCGGCTCTACGTCTTGTTGCTGCCCCCAAAAAATGGGGCTTTGGGAGGGGATAGGGGATTCACCCCACGTACCCCCCATGGGCTGCGTACTTATTTGGGCGCAGCGATCGGCAATCGGCGATTTCAGCCGACAGCGTGTTTTTATTTCTCGTTTTTTAGCTGCCTTCTTTTATTTTGTTCGCTTTTTTTTGCCCCGACAATTTCGGGCAATTATTTTCTGGTGAATTTTTTGCCTTTTTGACATATTTGCTTCGAGTTGAGTTTCGGATTTTTCGATGGCTTCTCTTCTGGTTCTAGTTCTTTGTTTGCGCCGCCCGATCGGGTTTACTTTTCCATTTAATGTGAGTACACAACGATATGTGTACATGGGTACCAGGGGATATCTATATAAGTAAGTATCTATATATCTGGTTAAGTTTGTATCTGAAAGATAGTTCTTCGTTTATCAGTGGGTTTTATTTTATTAAATTTAACTTTATATTATATTTTGTTATAAATATATATTTAGCTATCTATGTATCTGGTTAAGTTTGTATCTGAAAGATAGTTCTTCGTTTATCATTGGGTTTTATTTTATTAAATTTAACTGTATATTATATTTTGTTATAAATATATATTTAGCTATCTACATATCTGGTTAAGTTTGTATCTGAAAGATAGTTCTTGGTTTATAAAGGAATATCATGGGATTTTTAATTTAAATTAAATTTTATATTACATTTTGTATCTGTATCTGAAAGATAGTTCTTGGCTTATAAGGGAATATCATTGGATTGGATAAACATATATATGTATAAGTATCCACATATCTGGTTAAGCTTGTATCTGAAAGATAATTCTTGATCTATAAAGGAATATCATTGGATTTTAAAATTAAATGAAGCTTTATATTATATTTCTTTGGGGTTTTTTAGGCTGAGAAGGATTGCAAGCTTAAATTTGATCAAAAAAGTGATTACTTTGTTGGAGCTAAAATTTTTTAAAGTTTAAAATCCTTTAGCCTATACTTTTTTAAAGACATTTATTAAAATGAATATTTTATAATACATTTGTTTACACATTTGTTTTTATGGAGCACTGAAAGTGATAAAAATAATTCAAAAGATTTAAGAGTTCCTTAAGTGCGTCTGTTTAGATTTTGTTTTGGAAAATTTGCTTTTTATGACGCACACATGGTTCAATATCAGGCACTTCCTCCTCCACTTCCTGCTACCTGCCCAGGTTCTTGTTCTTTTTAACCACGCAAAAAGATTGGATGGTACATGTGGAAAACATGACGTGCACGTTTTTTATTTTCCTGTTTTCCTGCTCGTAGTTTCCCAGCTGATAACGTTTCTCGGTTTTGGATCTGTTGTGTTGTGAGTTTTAAACAGATTGTGCAAAAAACACAGAGGTGAAATCCCTCTCTAATCCTGGCTGATGCAATATCTAAATTAGCTACATCACGATCGTTGGCTGTCGCTGATAAGAGAAAATTCGTGTTTTCTTTAGGGGATTTTTCACACCATGTGGCTGTAACTTAAGAGCGGGACGATCTGGCGGAAGAGATAGTTTAAAAAATATATACATGTGCGTATTACATGGCTCTCTTGGTATAATTGTAATGCTAGATGCTTCTCCCTCGCTCTCGACTGGTTGATAAACAAATAAATAAGTGGCTTTCAATGTCAATGTACGCTCTACGAGATAGTTGTCGATGGTCGATGGTGCTCAATCTCACTCGGTCACCCGGTGACCAGTTTTATTTCTTTTTATTTTTTTGGTTCCCTGGTCACTGGGTCATCCGGATATTCATCTTTTTTGGCGGGCGACCTTGTTGCACCATTTCATAAGGACCTGCATCTGTTTTTGTTTTTACATACATGTTCAAGGTAAAAATATACATTGAAGAAAATATTATTTTGGTTTTTTGGTCCATTTTTTGAAGATCTTGTGAAAAAATATTTTTTTTTTAATCATCATCATAAAGAATCTTTACTTTTTTTTAAGACCTTATGAAAAAATATTTTTTCAAAAATCAGAGAACCTTTTTTTTCCGGTTTGAAATCTAAAACTTTTTATCAAAACAAAGAAACTCAATTGGTTTCTTTTAAAAATATGGTAAAAATAATATTGGTCTTAAAAAAAATTGGAGCAAAACTAAAGACTCTTAATAATGCATTTTCCGAAGGGGTTACCTCTTTTTTTTTAATATTTTTTTATTTGAATACCGAAAACAGTAAGCAAATATAATTTGGCAATATTTCGAGTAAAAGATCTGAATAAATAATAAATCTCAAAAGTCAGTTTTGACAAATATATTATTCCACGGCTTTATATGGCATGATAATTACAACTTCAGAATAACAAACCCAACTTATATGCGACTGATTTTTGAGAGTGGTCAACAACAACAGCAGAATCTGGTAAAAAGAAAAACAAGTTGATAAAAAAACGATTTCCAGCGAAAACCAAGTAACAAACAAGGCAACTTGCCTTCACTGAGAGAAAAATAGTTGTTTTTGGTTTTGGGTGGGCTCTCTTGGAAATCACTTCCCAATCGGTTTGTTACATTATAATTATCTGACCTGTAAAACGAGAGCAAAAGTCATTGAACCCCATTACATTGTTTTTGTGAACGATCAAGGACGCTTTAAGAAATACAAACGAGTGTGGGTTTTTGTATCTGTGAGATGAAGGGGTGTGTCCCGTATCTCGCTCTCTGTGTGTGAGTGTTTTGGAGGCCCGCTCGCTGAAACGGGCCCACTTTTCGTACATTCACAGATACAGATACAAACACAGATGCAAAGATACACACAGCTATGTGCAAAATAATAGTATCTGCAAGCTAAGAAAACCATATAGTTTCATAGCAATTTCAAACTATTAGTATATGTTATGGGTTAAATATAAATAATTAAAGATTGTAAAAAATCAGTATAATTTGTATATATTATGGATTAAATATTACAAATGAAATATTGTACAAAATCCCTTTGAAAACGTACTAAAATATATAATTTTAGTCCATTTTGAAGTAAAAGTTTTAAATTAAAGTTACAGTAATATTATAAAACCAAATATTGGATGATAGAAATAAAGAGTTATTATATAATAAAATAATTATAATATTGCATAGACCCTTTACAACTATTAACTTGCAGTTAGGTGTATGTATCGTTATTGATCGCGTACCAAGCGGCGTATACGCAATATGATCGCCTTAACCCGTTGGTCACCTTTATTTTTGCCGGGCTTGGGTCGATTTGTTTTCGCCGTTGGCGTTACAATCATTCTGTTATTGTTATTGTTTTGATGCCTTTCTGCGAGAAATTGTTTTCGTTACCTTGACGGCTGACGACCGCGTCATTCAAGCCCCTTGTTTTCTTGTGGCACTTGTTCCCTTAGATATTTCGTAAATATTTTCGATCTGTGTCGCATCGCTGTATTTATCCCACTGTACATCAGTGGCAAAAATTACGCACTCGCAAAAGGGAGCCTTCGGGGGCCAGGGGCGGACCACCGGTGACGTCAAAACAGAGCTCTCAGTCGCTTTAATCGCGCCCAACTGTGTCGAGGTAATTGCAATTGCAATTGAATCGAAATCGATCACGCGTCGCTTAAATTCAATTCACAAATTCAAAACACAAAATACCCGGGGACTAAAGGGCTCTCAGGGTTCACAGACAACGGCGCAGTTCCAATCGGTTGCCCGTTATACAAGACTTAATATCCAAGTCTTGAGGATTTCAGTAAAGAATTTCACGTCCTACAAACTCGAACTAATTCCAATCATTAAGATTTTCGTTTGGTAGTGTTTGATTTCAGCGAGGAATTTCACATCCTACAAACTTAAACTATTTTCAATCATCCAGATTTTTTTATTGTTAATGTTATAATGCCAATTAGACGTCTAAGACATCATATTAAACCAAATAATTAGGGGTTTGTTATTTACCTATATAACACTTTTGTACTTTATAACATTTTACAGAAAAAACATAGAGATCAATTTGATATTCGCATGGACATTTTTATTAACTCATTAATTCATCTCTACTATCAAAGTTCTCTTAAATCATAAATCTAATTAATGGTTTTTCTGTGTAAATCATTGT